AGTGTGGTAGGCCAGCCTCTCTTCTCTTGCTGATTTTGGCAAAGGCCACAGTAAGTCACTAACCAGCAGACCGACAGCACCTCAAACCCTCACGCAGGTCTCTTTAAGCCTCCTGGCTGGTGCCACTGAGATTCTGCTGGGCCACTCCAGGCTGTCGCTGCTAACATCCAACACCCCCAGGGTGTCATCACTCCCCCACAAGAACACCGGGCCTAACTGGTTGAGCACTTGCTCATTTTCAGGTTTACTCTAGGGCAGGAAAATAACTGTTAAGGGTCATTCTGGAACTGTCTTTGCATTTTTGTCACCACAGAAAGCATGTGTGCAGACAAAACAGGTACTTTTACTAGTACACAGTGCTTTCTTTGGACCGTGCTATTTTTAAAGCCCCTTCCCCTCCCCTTGCCTGCCCTTCTCTACAAAACTCCTGGGTTGTTTCAGGGCTACTTTCCTGCACCTTCCAATGTTGAAGTGTCAACAGGTGTTCTAGTGGCTAAAACAGTCTGGGGTCAGAGCACCAAACCCAAGGACCTGCCACAGCCCTGGCCAGATGGCCATGTGATGATGACAAACAGCACTTTTAAAGCAAGCCTATTGGGTGGCCAAACAGAGCTCCATCCAGAGACAGGAAGAAAGCCAGGCCAGAGAGGAGAGACCAGGTCGAGACGCCTAAGAATCACATCCCCACCCCCCAGTGGTACAAGCAGTTACCGCCTCTGCAGAAGGACTGGGACTTTTTTATAATATACAGATTACAAAATCATACCACTCTGCAGCTAAAGAACAAAACTTACACCTCTAAATGAGTATTTCAAAGCTATTACCTTGGTGAACCTTTCTTCTGATTCTAGAAATATCTTGGCCTTGCCTTCAATACACATGACAAGTTCTTTTGACTATATTTAGCGGTGGCAAATACCAATTATTTGCAAGTGGGTGTCATTTTTAACAGCTAGGTCATTCGGAACTAAGACTCATAAGATGAGGGAATCAATACTATTTTGGTGTAAAAACCAAGGTGCTGGTTATAGTAAAACAAGTTGGCGTTTCCTGGGCAGATCCAAAAACAATTTGAAAGGTAATTTTAAAAGTGCTCGGAATAAAGGCAATGTTGGTGTCAAATAAGGTATATGCTACCAAGGTGACAACTCTGAAGAGATCACTGATGTGGATACACAGCGGGCCCTCCATATCCACGTGTTTCATATTCGCTGTCAACCACTGATTGAAAACAGTGTTTTCCACCTGCGGTTGGGAGTCTGTGGGTGCAGGGGGCCGACTGTATACATCATTCTATGCCACTTTATATAAGGGACCTGGGCATCCGTGGGTCTTGGTATCAGTGGGGAGGGGGTTTCTGGAACCAATCTGACAATAATGAGGGATGACATTCTGGAGTCTCATTACTCTATTTCCACAATCGTTAGGAAAAGGTTATAGAAAACAGACACACCTACTATAAAACTCATTTCTGAGTCTCAGGCAGAAACTTTTAAAATAAAAAAGAATTCTTAACTTCAGTTAACTGGTCTCCAAGTCTTCAGAGTAGGGGCTAAGAAGCAGTGACACTCCTTACATAAGACCCTCTAGTCTATGAATAATGTCTACTAATACATAATCTAACTATATTATTAATGTCTACTAATACATAATGTAACTTTCAAAGCAAGCCTATTGGGTGGCCATATTGCACTTGGGAGTCTGGGTCTCCGAACCTCTAGGAGTCCTTAATCTAACAGACGTACTGACCTGGACACATGTCTATAATACTAATAAAAGCCCTACTTACACAGCCCTTACTACTACCTGCTTTGAACTTTCTTAGCATGATACACTAAGCTTTATATTAACTCAATATTTTGACTATTTTTACTTTACTTATATTACTTTTTTATTCCTATCTTCCATATGAGAGAACTGAACTATAAAGATGTTGCCGAAGACCAAAGCTGGGATTGGAACCGTGGCAGTCTGACTTCATCTATGCTCTGACAATATGCTACACCACCCAACATGCCTCTGTGAGACAAGAGAAAACTTGGTACAAATCAAATAAATAGGATAAAAGACAACGGGGAGCTCATTTAAGAGGCAGAAAGGAGGGGGGAAGTGAGGCAGGCAGATGGACCCGTGTAAACCAGGATGAAAGCCACGTAGAGCAGCCACAGAGTTCCGTGGCACCCTGGGGACTGGCAAAACGGCTTTGCCCTTATTTATTTAGAGACAAGAGGAGGCAGCTGGAAAGACCCGGGGGTTATGAAGAACCAGTTCTGGCACTGTTCTCTGTATATAAAGTTCTTCCTTTATTACATAAAAGTCAGATAATGCAAGATTCACAAAAATAAAACCCCAGCCAGGCGGCTGTGGCTCGGTGGCTGAGCCCGGATCCATGTACCATGAGGTCACCGGTTGGATTCCTACTCTGGGCACCGCCTGTTAGATCGCCCGGCAGGGGGCGTGCAGGAGGCAGCTGATGGATGTTGAAGTTTCATGCTTCGCTCTCACCTATGTTTCTCTCTCTTCCCTTCTCTCTCTGAAAAAAACACACACACAATAACATTTAAAATAAATAAAACTCCACGATACTGTTAATATGGCAGCTTATACCCAGCGCACATCACTTTGCGAGCTTTACTGGCTACCAAACAGAGGCAGGCTCAGTGGTTCTCAACCTTCTGGCCCTTTAAATACAGTTCCTCATGTTGTGACCCAACCATAAAACTATTTCCGTTGCTACTTCATAACTGTAATGTTGCTACTGTTATGAATCATAATGTAAATATCTGATAGGCAGGATGGTCTAGCCAGTGGTTGGCAAACTGAGGCTCGCAAGCCACATGCGGCTCTTTGGCCCCTTGAGTGTGGCTCTTCCTAAGCCTTAGGAGTGCCTTAATGAAGTTAATAACAGTGTACCTACCTATATAGTTTAAGTTTTAAAAAAATTTGGCTCTCAAAAGAAATTTCAATCGTTGTACTGTTGATATTTGGCTCTGTTGACTAATGAGTTTGCCGACCACTGTTCTAGACGACCCCTGTGAAAGGGTCGTTGGACCGCCGAAGGGGTCGCGACCCACAGGTTGAGAACCGCTGGTCAGTCGCCGTTAACTCGCTAACACGAGGCAGGGTGAGTGTGATGATCTCCCCGCCGCCCCCAAGGGGCTTTCAGAACCCACCGCCACGGCCTCGGTCCCCGGAGGAGCGGGTGCGTGTGGACGGAGGCAAGTGCAGGAGGAGCCCTGGAGGTGTCTTCCCTTGAACCCCGGGACGCCAATGCCACCCCAGGCCTCACCTCGCCTCCCGGGGCAGAAACCCAGCCTCCCACGGCGGGAATGACCGGGATGAAGTCCTCGGACTCCACGTCGGGGGGTGTCTTCCCCCTGCAGCGCCCGATCCCGCCCTCCCCCTGGTAACCGTGCAGGACCAGCCACACGACACTCATTCCAAAGCCCTCGGCCTGCAGGAAACGCGAGCACACGCCGGCCCCGCAACTTCCTCCCCTTCATTTACACCCGCGACTCTCGCTGGGACCCGACACGTGTCCACAAGGCATCATCCGAGTTAACGCTCCTAAAATCTGCAAAGTAACAAAAGAGCGAGGCGACCGAGAGGATGCGGCAACGGGAGTTGTTTCCGGGTAGGCAGGGAGCCGCCCCCAGCCGGCCATCCATCCATCTCTCCAGGCCTCAGCC